CATAGAGACATGAGACAACGATTTTATTATAGTGAAAAATAAAAACGTTTGGAGAAACTGAAAGGCTGAGAGGTACGCTTCCCACAGCAGTCAATATTCTCTCGCTTTTGACACAAGCAGGCTTCTAGTAAGATGCCAAAGTTGCAAGGCCGCTAGAGCCAGTAAGGTCTTTTTGACCCAAAAGCCTCATTTTCTATTGTAGAGAAGAGGAAGTGCTGTTGCTTTTCCCGACAAGTGGAACAGAGTGAGAACATGAGGAGGGCCCTTTTCTTGACTCCAGCTCCACTGCTTTCAAACAACAATATTTAACCAACAAAAGAAGAGACCACGTCAATCTCAGTTTTAGTGATTCCCCTGAAAGTCATCAAATAAAAATGTGAACTTTAAAATTGATCAGGATTAATTTCACTGACACTGTATCATAACATATATCTCTTTAGAGACTCATTTGTTGGGCTGCAGATGCAAAGAAAGTAAGGAAAGAAATAAATCAGAATACGATAAGGCAATTAGACTTTTGCCATTGATAGAATACTAAAAATGTCTGATTTATCAAATCATTAACAAACAGAAGTAAACACAAGACTTACATTTTCTTATAAAATACCTAGACAGGAAGATTAAAATAATAACCAAGACCATGTGTATCAATAAATGTAATTTATAAATATCGCTCCATTGCCAAAAGATGCTATTTCATTTGCTAATTTGAAGAGTACAACAGCAAGGGATGATTTATCAATACAAATGCTGTTCTGATGTGTAACTGCTGTTCTCAACTCCATGGACATTTTTCTCCCCAGATGAGAGAGTTCCAGCAAAGGTAAAGTACAATTTAATAAACTAAAGCTACTTAATCTTTACCTTGAGTCATTATCCTTGATCCGAAATCAAATAAATATATTTAAAGTGTTTTTCTTTGTAGTGGTCTCAATCCCTGTATGGTTACTGTAAGAAAAATAGTTACCTGTGCTGGGCACTACCAGAAGAATTTATGCATAATTTCTCATCTAATCCTGACAAGAGTGCTATAAAAGAGATTTTGTTATTATCCCTATTTACACGTAAGAAAACTAAATCTGGTCCAAAAAAAAATATATGGAGACTTGCATTTAATCAATGTCACTGTCAAGATTTGAACCCAGGTCTGTCCAACTCCAAAGGCGTGCTCATAATTACTACCATATAATAACTTCAAGAAATGTGCTTGAAAATCTTGGGCATCAGTTTGTTTTTATTTCCCCCAGGCAAACGACCATGTTGATTACAGAAACTAATTTAACAAAGACTAATATAAGAAAAGCTAAATTTTGAGCTAAGATTTTTACTACTGAAAAAACCCTCAGGATCCATTGAAATTAAGGTTTATTTCTTTGATAAAGAAGCTGAGACAGGATGGTGCTTGATTTACCTAAAGGCACATTAAATTTGATTATTGGGACCAGCAGCTAGCATAATGGCTATGTTGCTGGCCTCCCACATAGTCGACTGCGGTTCGAGTCCCGGACCCAGTGGCTTAAACTCACACCAGGCACATGTGCGTGCATGCCCAAGATCCCGAGAGGAGAATGGAGGAGAAGGTATTGTGGCATGGCCGTCGCCTCTGGGGGGTGATTTCTCGCTTTCTGTCTCTCTGTCTCTCTCAGTCTGTCTGGCAAGCGCATGCGCCCTATAGCAAAAACCTCTCCAAAAAAAAAAATTGATTATTAAAGGGTTATTACCTGGGTGTATAAATGGGTGATTGTTTTACCAGATAAGTCACTGTAAACTTGCCTCCAATAGCTAGTATATTTAAAACATTATTCAATACATGATATTTGTATCTACCCAAACATGAGGAGACGTATCTGCTGCCAGAAGAAGTAGAACTGTGAGTCCAGCAGGTGGCGTAGTGGTTAAGGTGCTAGAATTCCAAGTGGTCGACCGCCATTCAAGTCCTGGACCTGGTGGCTTGAAACTCACGCTGGGCATGTGTGCATGCATGTGCAAAATCCCAGGAGAATGGAGGAGAAGGGATTGCAGCATGGCCATCCATCCTGGGGGGTGATTTCTCACTTTTTGTTTCTGTCTCTCTCGCAGTACACAAGCCCTATAGCAAAAATGTATTAAGCAAAAAAAAAAAAAAACCTGTATTAACACTAGGAGAAATCCACCTCCTTCATTCCACACTGGCTTCCAGTATGCCGTTCTCTGTACTGGACACAGAGATGAAGTGTTTTCAGTCTTGGCTTTGCGTGAAAATAAAAGTAATAGAAATTCTTATGAATTATAAGAACCTTACTTGACATTTAATTTTGAAGGCCCACAGAAAGTCTGGGGTTAACCTAAATAAGTTCTATGTATGCTAGAATAGATACTTATGCAAACATGGTAAGCCTCAACCTCTGTGCAAAAGATGTCTGTGTTGAGCCATCTTCCTCCTGAAGGAGGCGACGGAAGCAAAACTACTTAGACCAAAATGTCCCTTCAAAGAAATTTTGTCTTATTCAAGAAAATACTGAACTGCCTTGTCATTCTGTCCCTATGTGGCCAATCTAGCAGGATTCTCTACGAACCTTTCCTAATCACCCTAAACAGGTATCAATGATGAAATCCTATATTGGTATATTAAAAAAATGCAAAGAGTAGAAGTGAAATCATTCAACAAATCTGTAAGAGCTAGGAAGAAAACATCTTATTCTATGAATGTCTGTATGTATAAACTCAACCAGTTCAATTTCCTGGTGAGCAAAACTAGAGAATTTCCGGGTTTTCCCCAGGTCATACCATTTCTTAGGGGCAGAGACAGACGGGACCAAGTGCTCTTGAACTCAGTTCTATGTTTTTCAATCTTTCAAGTTTCTTGGAGCAGTATCGACGCATAGTAAACACAGGGGAAAGACAGGCAAGCAGTAGAAAATCGACACACTCATCGGATTACGTATACGTGCCAAAATGAAATAAAATTCACAATAATATTTCCATCTGATTTTCATAAAGCTATAAATTTCTAATTTCAAAATTAGTTTGAGTATGGCAACAACAAGGAAGAAGTTTTTTTTTTTTTTTTTTGTTTTTTTTTTGTTTTTTTATAGGTTTTTGCCATAGGGTGCATGCGCTTGTGGGAGAAATACAGAGAGATGATGAGAAGGAAAGTGAGAAATCACCCTCCCCAGAGGGGATGGCCACACACCACCATTTCTTCTCCATGACCCTCCTAGGATTTGGGGCACGGAGGCACATACACTAGGCATGACATCTAAACTCGAACCTCGGTCAACCTTGTGGGAGTCCAGCACCTTATGCACCATGCCACCTGTGGGTTCCATCAAAAATATTTTTATAATATCCATATAGTAAGATATACCATCATAACACCCATTTACACAAACTTCTCAGCCCTTAAATGTAAGACAAACTGTTCAGTGCACTGTCTCTAATGGCTAGTATTTTGTTCCACATAAAATGCCCCAGATTTGTCATTATTAGCAAGATAGGTTGTTCATCAGAAATGTCCTCAGACTTTTAAATGATTGTGGTATACCTAATCTCTCATGGAAAGTCAAAAGAAGAAAAAACGAGAATTGGAAATACAATTTGTTTTTTTGTTTGTTTGTTTTTGCTTTTGTTTTGTTTTGTTTTGCCATAGAGCGCATGCACTCACTGGAAAGAGACAAAGAGAAAGGGAAAGTGAGAAACCACCCTACACGCAGGGAGGATGGCCACACTGCAATTCCTTCTCCTCCATTCTCCTCTTTGGATTTTGGGCATGCACACACATACACCCAGTGTGTTTTTTAACCCTCTATATCTGGGCAGGACTCAAACCGCAGAGTGCCTTAACCACCACATCACTTGCTGGACCAGAAATATTATGATATTTTGAAAGCGACAGTTTCTTTGGGGTTTGACTTTATGTATTATAAATTCCTCAGGATGGAGATTTTCTTCTTCATTTGGCACATTTATTGGCTGCAAACCATTACATGAGAATGTATAAATTAGCCATAAGGAAGTCTCAAGAACATGGAACAGAAACTGACGCATAATAAGAAATTCAATAAAATATTTGTTAAGTGAATGGATAATTCTTATTTTTTGAACTGCTTTCCAAATGACAACAGGTAAACTGAATTTACTAAATATTATAGTATCATTTTAAATAGGTAGGTAGATTTTGAGCATTCCCAAGGAGTTCTCTGTTTCTGTTTTGTGCTTTACCAAGTCTACTTCAAAATATAACCTATGTTATTATTATTGTAACATATGTATTGTATTAACACAACAGTTATATAATTTTATTATTATATAATGATTACCATATTAATGCGTTTTTGTCATAGTTTTTTTGTTTTTTTTCAGTGGGTCACTATTTGCTTTATGCTACTTGGTTAAGAAAATGTTTCCCAGGACCAGAAGTTAGTGTAATGGCTATGTCACTGAACTCCCATGTAGTCAACCACAGTTCGAGTCCCGGATCTGGTGGCTTAAATTCACGCTGGGCACATGTGCATGCGTGAACAAGATGCCGAGAAGAGAATGGAGGAGAAGGGATTGCTGTGTGGCCATCCCCCCTGGGGAGTGATTTCTCACTTTCTCTCTCTCTCTCTCTGTCTTTTTGGTGAGCACATGCACCCTATAGCAAAAACCTCTCAAAAAAAAAAAGAAAAGAAAATGTTTCCCTGGGGCTGGCAGGTGTTGTGTGGCTAAGGGCAGTGGACTCCCACATGGCTGACCACGGTTTAAGTCCCAGACCTAGTGGCTTACTTTCTCACTTTCCTTCTCTCTCTCACTCTGTCCCTCTCTAGTCAAATTAAAACAAACAAACACATAAATAAATAAAGTTAAATAAAATAATTCTTAAAAAAAGAATATGTTTTCCTTAAAGGAGCATAAAAAAACTAGAATTTTAAACAATATTAGAAACAATTCTGTAATTTAGAAGAGCCTAGTCTTTTTATAGAATGAAACAAGATTATCCTACAGTGCCTTAAAATATCAACTACAGAGCTCCAAATTACCATGAATATCTTCGTTCAGGATATGAAATAGAGTTGTAAAGAATTAATTCTCATCATTCTGTCAGAGAAACTGTCCTCCACATTTGTTGTCCTTTGTTTTGACAGCCCCAGGCCAACGGTCCAGTGGAACAAATGTTTCTTGAGTAGTTACTGTGTGCAACGGTAGGTTTCAAGATGAATAAAATGTAGCACCTGCCCTCAGAAACAACCGCTGTCCTGTTCCAGTGAAGGTCAAATGTCTATGACGACATATTACGAAGACAATGGTATACCCAGGGTGGGGGTACACAGTGGACTTGGTCTGCCCCAGGAAAAGCATCACCTGGACAGAAATTAAACACCTGGCCTCATCTTGACCTACTTCTTTTTATCACCAACAATTAGAATTATATGCTACCAGGTGGGGTAGCGTCCCCCTCAAACTTCATGTCCTCCCTGAACCTGTGAACCTGATTCTGTTTGGGAATAAGGTCGTTTCAGATGTAAGTAGTTAAAACAGAGTCACGAGCCAGCAGGTGGCATGAGGCTAAGGCTCTGGATCCCACATGACTGACTACAAGGTTTGAGTCCCAGACCCAATGACCTGAAAACCATGCCAAGCACATGTGCGTGCCCAAAATCCTGAGGAGACAGCAGAACAGTCATTTCAAACTTTTCCCCACTCTCTCTGGTGAGTGTACACAATCTATAGCAAAACTAAAAACAAAACAAAACAAAACAAAACAAATCTGCTTTCAGGTTTCTAGGCTCCAGAACTATGAGATGATGGCATTTCTGCTAACCTGTTGGTTGTCCTTTGTTAAGGCAACCCTCAGAAATGAATACTATGACCATTCCCATCACCCCACCTTCTTAGTACACCACTGACGTTAATAATAAAACATGAAGGGACCAGCAGATGGCGTAGCAGTTACTTTGCTGACTCCTTCATGGACGACTGCGGTTCGAGTCCCAGACTTGGTTACTTGAAACTCATGCAGGGCACATGTCCATGCATGCATGCCCAAGGTCCCGGAAGGAGAATGGAGGAGGAGGGACTGTGGCATGGCCACCTCCCTGGGAGTGATTTCTTACTTTCCATATCACTGTCTGTCTCTCTTTCTCTGCAGTGAGTGCAAGCACCCTAAGGCAAGAACCTCTACAAAACAAAACAAAACAAAACCATGATAATTCTTTTTTTTTAGTGACATTTTTGCGATAGGGCACGTGCACTCACCAGAGACACAGAGAGAAACAAAGAGAGAGAAAGTGAGAAATTACCCCCCACCCTTTCAGGGAGGATGACCACATAGCGATCCCATCTCCATTCTCATCTCTGGATTTTAAGCACACATGCTCAATATGAGTTTCTAGTCACCGGGTTCAGGACTCAAACCACAGTTGACCATGTGTGAGTCCAATGCCTTAACCACCATGCCACCTGCTGACTCCTATAATTATTAAAGTATACACTGAAGCTTAGAGTTGGTAGCCCGATAGCCTGGAAGTAGGAAGAGAAATGTAAACGTGTTGGGTCATATGGGAAGTCTCGATGCATTTTTGCATAGCAAAATATATCATGACTTTCCCAATAACCTAATATTTCGATACGGAGTGGTAAATTCTTCATGGAGTTGTGCACAGCATCTATGAATCACAACGAAGGTAGGGATTCAAGTAAAGCTCCGCAGAGCAGTGCTGAGGGTGTGTTCAGGAAAACGCAGGCAAGGCCAGCTTGGTTGGAACAGATTAATGTGTGAAGGAGAAGAAAGAGCAAGAGAGAACAGGGAGGCCTTGCTCACTGAAGCCTTTAGAGATAAACATTTCTATGTGCTGTAGACTCTCACTGTGTGAAGTAGGATCTGTAGACCAGTAGAAATAGCATCGCTGGGAGCTTGTTAAAGATGCAGCAGTCACTGCTCTCCCCTCTCTCTCTCTTTTCTTTTCTTTTCTTTTCTTCTTCTTTCTTTTTTTTTTTTTTTTTTTTTGAGAGTTTTCTGCTATAGGGCACATGTGCTTGCAGATAGACAGAGAGAGACATAGAGACAGAAAGTGAGAAATCACCCCTCAGGGGCGATGGCCACTCCATAATCCCTTCTCCTCCCTTCTCCTCTCGGAATCTTGGGCACACATGTACACGTGCCTGGCGTGAGTTTAAGCCACTGGGTCCAGGACTTGAACTGTGGTTGACTACATGGGAGTCCAGTGACATAGCCATTACTCCAACTGCTGTTCCCATTGCTCTCCTCTCTTACTGCTCCAAGAGTGGCGCTGAGACCTGCAGAATCAGCATGAGTATCACCAGGAGGCTTGTTAGAAACCCAGGTCTCTCCAGACCTACTGAGTCCGAATCTGCATTCTACAGCATACCCACAGGAATCCATGATGTGGCCGGGTCTTTAAAAAGCTCATAGAAAATGTGTGCTATGAGAAAAAAACGAAGCATGGATTGCCAGATTTGTTGCACTGAAATAAACTCACGCTTTATTTCCATTTTCCCATGAACCTTCTGAAGTCCCTCCACATCGAAGCCGGGAAGCACCATCCAAGGGGATATTATGCCTCTGCTGAGCCATGAAGAGGAAGCTCGTAGATGAGAAGATGGCCGAGGTGGGCCATTACTGGGGAAGCGGCGATCCACAGGGCATTCAGAGGGCACTGCACGAGCAGACACACAGAGGTACACGACGGCCACAAAGCAGCAGCTAGCGTTAACCAAGCCAGACTGCGGGCACTACGAGCTATCTGTACACTCGTCCTTTGATCTGTGTTCTCCCCGCGTTTCTATCATGACAAGACACAAGGTTTGCAGAGGTGAATAGCCCAGTGTCAATACCCAGTAAGTGCTGGGGTTCCCCAGCATTCTTCAAATACCCCAAACCTTCATGCCTTTACAGAGCCAACTTCTTCTACCTGCAGTACCCTTTGTTAAAATGTCATTCATTCTTCCATACTCAGCTCAAAAGTCACCTCTTCTGTGATCTCGCAGTCCCCCCTCCCCCCAGGATGAACTGCACACTCGTTGGGTCTCCCTAACATCTCCTTTACACCACAGTAATAGAATCTGTCAGGCTCTGGCTTCTTTGGTGCCCGTCTCTCCCTTCCGCATCTCTGAGGTTAACCTGATATTTGGGGGAATGGAGGTATGTCTCATTACTCTCAGTCGCCCACTGCCGAGTGTGGTGCTTAATACTGTGTACTAAACTCAAAGCCAGACTTATTAAAGGTGGACGTTTCAGATGGCCTCTCTGTTTCTAGCTTCTGCTGGCCATGTGACCTTGAGCCCATTCTTTACCCCTTCCAGCTGCAGTGTTCTCATCTTCAAAATGGTGACAATGAAACCTACTCCTAAGGTCGCGGTGATGTTGAAAAAGAGACGAGATAGGTAAAACGACATGTTTGCGCAGGGCACAGAATAAGCGCCTGATACATATCTTTGTTTGTTTGTTTTTTAAATTATTTTATTTTTTAACTTTCCATTATTTATTTATTTATTTATTTATTTTAATTTGACCAGAGAGGGACACAGAGAGGAAGGGAAAGTGAGAAGGCAAGCCACCAGGTCCAGGACTCGAACCTCAGTCGGCCATGTGGGCGTCCAGAGCCCTTAGCTGCCATGGCACCTGCCGGCCCCCGATACCTATCTTTGAAAGGAATAAAACCAATGAGTGAGTTGACCTTGTAAAAAAGCAAACAGTTACAATAAAAGCTATCATGTATTGAATAAGTGCCAGGCACAATTTTATATTATCTCAAAACTCTTCAAAGGCCATCTGTTCTCATCATTCTGATTCCCTTCAGTAAGTATTTAAACGGAGGCCTGTGTAGGTTAAGGAGTTTGCCTAAGATCAAGGGGGAGAGCCAAGTTGATCCAAGTAAGTCCAAAACTCAAGCTTCCAGGAAAAAAAAAAAAAAAAAAAAGACAGAACTCTTCACAGTGTGTATGTCACTGTTGGTGTCACAGCCCACCCAGACACCACACCGCTTGAGTCTGACCTCCAGAGGCGCCCACAGCTCAAAAAAACCTGAGCACTTTTTAATTTGCGTTCCTTAATACTAGAAAAATGCAGATGTCAGCGGTCGCAGGAGATTCGGCTCTTCCCCGTGAAATACAAGCTGTGTTAACAGGGGGTGTGTGAAAGCTGCTGGTTGCTTCCTGCGCTATGCGTATAACTAGAACGGTCAGGAGCAAGCTGCCCACGTTCGATGAAATGTTTTCAGACCTGCAAGTGAACAGGAATCAAAGCTGCATCCAAAGTATGAATGATATTCTTTTGATGTCAGCTACATGAAGTCCTCCTATTAAAGTAGCGAGATGTTTTTTTCTTAAAGGAGGTTCCACGATAAAACGGGCAAGTGCTTTTCTTTACTGTGTGCGGTTCCCGATGCTCAGTTATAAGGGGGATGAATTTAGATGTAGAAAAAAAATCAAATTATTTATCTTAGTGTTCCCAGAAGTTTGCAAACTGCTGAGCGATGTGAGGCTCTGCCATGCATTCTCCTCATTGAGTCTATCTGGGTAAATTAATTACAAGACAATCCTTAGGAATTAAGTGTATTTTAAGTTCAGAGGCATCTGCTTAGAGACTTCTAATACCGCTAAATAGTCCCTTTGGAAATGCACTCGTTAGTACGCGTGGTATAATTTTCATTTCCGCTGGCACCATGGCATATGACTTCTTCAGTTTCAGCTACCCTCTGATTGACCTGTCAAGGGTATAAACCACTCTGAAGATGTTCCAGCACCATTTGTGCTTCTCCAGTAGGTATAAGGGCTTGAACTGATTTGCTCCACGCGAAGGAATAATTTAGAAGACGATTTTCCCTGGTTTTAATGTGATACCTTCCCTGTATAAACACACACACATACACACACGCACACTCAGCCTGAACTTGTAATAAGCTTCCTGAGCAATAGAACAAAACAAATAAACATTTTCTTAGATAACAGGTATTCTATACGTCTCAGGACATGAATTAGGAAAAAAATCTATGGGATCATTAATCCAATCTGTAAAATGGAAATGTGTTTTTAAGTTGAATGCCAATACAATGTTGGCAAAAGATGGGGAGAGGTACATGGAACACAGAGAAATGAAAATCATATTTGGGATTTTTTTTTCTTTCCCTTTATAATGAGAATATTGTAAGTTTTATCACCTGATTTTTCTGAAGCCACTGTGCTGT